AGCCGGAGAGCCTCGGGAGAGGCAGAGCTGGAGAAGATAAAGCTGTTTAGAATTGAGTAACCTGGAGGAAGCCAGACCAGGAGCGGGGAACACGTAAAAACTGGCTTCTGTATAGTTACTGTTGGCCTGGAGTCGAGTTATAAAGAGCTGAACTGGAAATAATTTGCAACGTAATTAGGGGAGGTACTGGCAGTGCACAGGAAAATATTTAAACTGGATTATGCCCTTCTGCATGAAGGAGGTAGAGTGTGTTGAAAATATAAAAGAAAGCCAGGAGATGGTGGAGCAACAGATTGCCAAAGTAAAATTTAGGCTGTAGATCGCATCCCGAATGGATACACACTTTTGGAGCTCAATGGACAGTCTTTGAAGTTTGAGCTTTGCATAGACTTGACAGCATAAAATGTCAAGAAATAAGAAGGCATTACATGTATGAGGAAATGTGTTTGGGGCAGAGTTGGCTCAGGAATGAGCAGAATGCCAGTCCAAATGTCTAAAAGGTAACTTACCAGGAATGCTGTCATTTTAGCAAATCACAGCTTTTTAAATGGAGAGTGGAAAACAAATGTTACTGTTGATATTAGTGACATAAATTTTCAACTATGGTAGAAGACAGATTTGTCACCAAGCAGGTACTGAAGTAACAAAAACAATAATGTTTTAGTATTTTGGTTTCAGTGAGTTTCAAAAACATTTTAAAAATGTTTCTTACTGAAGATAACTTTAGCACAGTTGTTTGTATGTTTATTCAGTCTAAATTCAATGAAAGATTAAATAAAAAGTTGGAAAGTAGAAGACAACAAATATCAGAACAGCAGAATTGTAGTTAGGACTAAGACAGAAGAACATTCATGGATCTTACTCATTTGCTGAAGTGATGGTAGGATGTTGTGTCTGTGAGAGCAGAGGGCTGGGTGTTGTGATCTGAAAGTCCCTTCAAGTCCAGTGTTTCTAAGACAGTTTCAGTTGTGAGTGAGTTTCTGTTCATGTGTCTGACTAAAAATTTTCAAGCTTCTAAAACCAGATAAAACCAGGAGGCAAGAGAGTAAAGTTAATAAATGAACTCTCTTAACTGGATTTTTTTCTTTCAAAACAAACAACCAAGCAAAAAAAAACCCCAGCAAGGGTTCATATATGTACTTTCAGGAACTAGATAATCCTTTAGATTTTTTTAGTTTTGTTTTGTTCTTATAATTGCTTTTTTCCCTAGGTTTTTAAATTTTTTTTTCTCCTATCTTCTACTTTGTGAAAGACTCTCTCCACCCACACAAGGATAGCTGATTACTGTGTGGTTTTTATTCTCCAGTATGTATAAACAAACTGAAAGTATTATTACCATGGTAATAAGGAAAAGTATGGCTAACATAGCATAATTAGATTAAAAGTGATTTATCTATTGATCTCTGATGTGGATCCTCAGACGAAATGCAGCAGCAGGTAAAATAGTTTATTCTAAGTGCTGCTTTGAAGTGTACTTCTGTCCCACTTCTGTTTGATGCGCATCTGGATGAGAAGGTATGTCACACAGATATGGACACTTCATAAATAAACATGTGACACTCAGAATAACCTGTTGTGTGCAAAATAAAAACATACCTAAGGATATTGTGTCAGTTTATTAACTCTGAAGAATAAATGCACAAGAAAATAAATAAATATTAGTTATTTCTGAGACCTGTCTGTGGTGGGTAGCTATAAATAGGAAATGCCAGTTCTGCAGTATGTCAGATGGCAACACCGGTGCTAATAGCATGATGTTGACTGGCTTAGTAAAGAGCTTGTTGCTAAGTTGGTTTTTTTAGAGGATTGGAGGAAGTTTGTTGTTGTTTGAGTGTTGTTTTTTTTTTTTTAAATCTTATCAGGCTTTCGAAAGATCCTGTAGGAAGTTTTGTATCACCTGAAATACTTTCTTGATTTTCTTACCGCAGGTCCTGTCTGGTTGTGGTGTCTACGATGGCACAGAAATCCATGAGGCTTCAGCGTAAGTTGCTTTATGAAACTGTAGGTTCCAAAAAAGTCTCCTTTACATTACAGCGGTCTCTTGAATTCAGTTTTGCTTCCTCTGGCCTTCAGAATTGCCTTGAAAGATGTATGATGAAGCTTCACAGTTTTCTCACAGCATAATTGGGAGCTCAGGCCATGTTCTTGCAGTACTCTGTGATTGTCCAGAGATGCAGCACAGTGTATGTGATGCCAGAGCAGTGAGTTTGAGAGTCTTTCCTTCAGAAACAGAAATTCAGGGTTCCAGAATAATCTCCAGAGAGTTACGTGAAGACTTCATTTCATATTCACCTCGAGTTTCTGTTCCTGGGGCTAAATCTAATGCTAGAATTGTTAATACTCAAGCTGAATTATTAACTCGTAGTGTTAATTGCTGAGAGATGTTTCACCTAGCCTGAGATTAAATGTACACATGGGTATGTTAATCGTGGGACTCTTCCATAACACCTGGGGACTTGCAATGAGAAAGGAAGATTTTATTGTTCCTGGTTCCCTGCATAAGAGCACTGAACAAGGAAACTTGTCTCTAGCTTACCTGACCCTGCCTCCAGACCGAATTTCTGGTTTGCTTTCCACTTTGGTGCTACATGCAGGGGTTTTGCTGCTATGTGCTCAGTATGCTTTGGTGGAACATGTGTTTTTCCTCTTCTTTCAAAATTTGGTGGTGGAATAAGTGTAGCAAGACTTTGGGGCCAGATAAAGCCTCTCAGAAGGTTTTCAGAATGTTTTATCTCCATTTTTGTAGCATACTGGTACACCTTAGTCGCGGGGGAGCTCAGGTTCAGATGTATGCTCCAGATGTTCCTCAGATGCATGTCATTGACCACAGTAAAGGACAACCAACTGAAGCTGAGTCCAGGTAAAGTCTATGTTTAACGTGTTTTCCGTGACTGCTGAGCCTCAGTCTCTTAGGTGTTTTTCAGACATAGCAGCCTGTAACTGCACTTCTAGCACTTTGCTGACTGGCTTTAGTAGTATTATGCTAGCTGGTATCTTGATTGGAGAGAAAATATTAAACGAGTTTTATGGACTTGATTATATCCGGTCTCTTAATGCCTGTGTTTCCCAGTAGTAGTATTTCAGAAGCATTGATAGCTTTAGTTATTGAGTACCACTGTTGTTCTTGCTTCTTCCCTTCCTCTCCCTGCTCTTCCTCTGTGAAAACTTTTTTTTATGCTCTTCTGTGTGAAAATGCTTAATTCATCTCATTCTTTTATTTCTGGTTCTGCAAGGAATGTTTTAGTGGAATCTGCAAGGATTGCTCGTGGTAAAATTGCAAGCCTGGCTAAGCTCACTACGGCAGACCATGATGCCGTGATATTCCCTGGTGGATTTGGAGCTGCTAAAAACTTGTGAGTGCTAACTAAGCATTAGACTCCTTGTCTAAATATTCATGATCAACTATGATTCACACAATAAAATCAGGAAGCAGTAAATGGCCTTATTTACTACATATCTAACCACTACTTAATAAGGAAAACTCCTTTCAAAGTCTTGGAATTAAGTTGTTCTGTTCATGATGGTTTCCAGTCATAGTTCTTACTGGCATTGTCACGTTTCAAATTTTTCGAACAATGTTGGTAAGAATTATGGAGTTTACGTAATGCACAAGAATCCTTTTTACCCCACCCTTGTGGTAATTCTTTTTGGGCCTGACTGAGGGAAGTGAAGGTCAAACTTCAATAGTTTTGGGTGTTCCCAGCGTTGTTACTCTGTTTCTTCATGTCTGCCTACCAAAAAGTCCCCTTTTGCATTAGTAATGATAAAACACCAGCTAGCTCAAGAAAAAAAAAGCAAAAGCGTTAGTCACGTGGAAGACTGATTATCTTGTTATTGACCTGCCATTTTCTTGGCTTTGAGAAACCTGAATGTTATTTCCCTTTTCTTGAATGTTTTTCTTCTTTGAAACCATTGTTGTTCCACTTCTCAGTAATCTTAGAAAGCTGGTTTGATAATTCTTATTTCTAGCTGTTTATATCAAGTAAGGCAATTTCTGACATACCAAAGCCTTAGAAGTGAGTAATTTTGGCCAAAGCATTGATGGTCAACTACAGGTTTTTTCAACTGCCTTTTAGAAGCTGTTAAGTCTTTGATGACCCTTGAGAGCCAGTCTCAGACAGATAGGCATCTCTATTTTCTAAGTTTATACTGAGTTACGTATAAAGTTTCTTGTTGTGGCAGATCTACCTTTGCTGTTGATGGGAAAGATTGCAAGGTGAACAGAGAAGTTGAACGTGTCTTGAAAGACTTCCACAAAGCAGGCAAACCTATTGGGTACGTATGTTAGTTGGAGGGGCATTTGTTTGATAGTGTGAGCATGGAGACAACATACGTTTTGTTGAAATGTGCAGCTGTTACTGTTGGAACTAGAAAAAACACCTTCTATTTTGTATCAGTTGTAGCTTATTATTTTAAATGTATTTTTCAAGATGCGTGTGTGTGTGTGGGTGTTTGTCAGAGAAGCAGCTAAGAAAATGCTGAGTGCAAGTTGCCTTGTGATTTCTTTCAGATTTGAAAGAATGCTGTTGTAGAATCACTCTTCTAATTCCTTTTGTTGCAGTCTTTGCTGCATTTCACCAGTGTTGGCAGCAAAGGTTCTCTCTGGTGCTGAAGTAACTGTGGGCCATGAAGAAGAGGAAGGTGGCAAGTGGCCTTATGCTGGGACTGCAGGAGCCATTAAAGAACTGGGAGGAAAGCATTGTGTGAAAGAAGTAACTATATCCTTTCCTCTTAATTTTCATGTTGAGACAGTTTATTAATGTGTCGTTACAGTAACGAATACGTGCAGGATCTGTGCTTTTCCACTGAAGGTTTAGTGGGAATATACAGTGTATAGCAGGTAGCGTGTAATACAGTGGATGATTAGAAACGTGGTCTTCTCTGTACAGCTCTGTAGTTAGAAGCCATTCTCCATCATTGCCATAGAACTCCCTGGGACACCCAGTAATGCAGTAAATGCTGAGTGAATTTGCACATAAAACTGGCATAAGTTACAATTGGTCAGTCCTCTTTGAGATTTTTTTTTTTCTTTTCCTGAAGGCTAATGCTGTAATCAAACTGATCTCAAAGACATTTTATTGCAGTCAGTAAATTTTGTAGGTTTTCTTATGCTTCTGAGCATTCCTACAGATTGCTCTTGCAGTGTTTGTGTTTTTAGCAAAAGTAGTTTCCAGTATCTTGGATTGTAGGTTGCAGCTGTCTTTACAGCTGGATGGTATAATGTATTTGGAGGTGATTTTTTATAGGAGAGTGGAGTTGGGAGGTTTTGTCAATGAGGGTTTGTTTTGCAGACAGCATCTGCAAATGAGACATAGGCTGTGTTTTCCTTAACTCCTTTTTACGAAGCTCATGTGGATACAAAAAACAAGGTGGTGACTACCCCAGCATTTATGTGTGAAACAGAATTGCATAATATCTTCGATGGCATTGGGGCCATGGTAAAGAATGTGCTAAAATTAACTGGCAAATAATAAAAAAAAAAAGAATCAGAAATGTTTAAGTTTAGGGTGTAGTATGAAATAGAATATGGACCAGTGGAAACATTTTCACCTGCTTGTCCTGTTCACACTCTAGTGAATGCGGATACGATGCTGATTGATTCCCAGCTGCAGGTTTTTCCATGCCCTTTCTGAGAGAGAAGCCTGCAGGAGGGCTTACGGAATACGAACAGTCTGGCCTGAGACACAGAGCATTTTCTTGAGCTTTTTCAGCTGGAGACAGCTGTGCGGACATATTCTGAAACCAGCCCTCCTGATGCAGCAGCGTCAAATCATTTCTGCGGGGGCAAAAAGAGACTAAAGGCCCTTTGAGAAGCTGAGGGCTGATGTGTTACAGGATATAGTAGATGCAGTGGCAGTGTATGTAGTGGATGAAGAATGACAGTAGAGAGGAATTAGTGCGTGGTTCAAGGTTTGTGTGCTCAGGCCTGTATCTGTGAACTAAAAGCCAGGATCAGCTGTCAAGGGAATAGACATCTTCCACACCTTAATTTAGTTTGGTATTAATTAAAAGATTAATGTTTTGTTTTTCCATTTCAAAGAATCTTGTTTTCATAAAGAAGCCATTCTGAGTATCAATCAGCAGCAGGATACATCTTCACTGTTCCAACCCTAGCACTTTGAAAAATTCATCCATTGGCCCATTATCGCTAAAAAGGTCTTGAAATGAAGGGGAAAACATCCGCTGATGTGACGCACAATTTTTAAGGATAATATCCATGTTAAAGTAGTTGCATGGCTAGTAGTGGGTGGAAAAAACAATCTAAGATTATCCTCACTTTCCCTGCTTTTAAGGTAATAAAGCTCTCTCCAAAGAAATATTATTGAATGTCTGCAATAATGATGTATAAATAAATAATTTCTGCCTTTATCTCGTCCTTGTCCCTTCACTTTTGTTTGACAGCTGCTTTTGATAACTTGGTTGATAGATTCTAGCAGTTTTTCTGCTTTTCAGTTCTCTTCGCATCTTTGGGACATTTTTTCCATATAGAATGCAGCAGTCTCCTTCCCCCCTTCCAAGTTCTTTGTTACCTTTTGTTCAACAGGAAGCAACATTTCTCAAATTAAAACAAACAAGCAAAATGACACCCCTTATCTTGCATTAGAGTTCCTTTTACATAACAGACATTCTGAAGAGAACCCATACTTTTAAGGGAGAATTGTGTGCTTCATAAATGAAATTTACAAGCCTTAGATTGGAGTGTGGTAAATACCATATGTGGCTGAAGACTTGGTAGGGATGCGGAATGACATTTTTTAATGAGGGGAGCAAAGAGGAGGAATGAAGCTGGAGCATGTGTGGTTGGCATGCTCAGCTTGCTCAGTCAGTGTTCACAGAATAAGCTTTTTTGCTTCTGGAGCCTATTAGTGTATGATTATTTTTTTTTTTGTCACAAAAAAAATCGCATTTGGATTTAGAAGATCTGAATTTGTATTTCCAAGATGGCACTGTTTTCTTGAGGAATTTCATAGAGCTCTCTTCTGCAGATTGCCAACTCCAGCGTGGTTACAAAGAAATCATACACAGAAACCAGGTCATCATGGCAGGAAGTATGGTTCTTAAAGTGGATATTGGGCATGCTCTGAAACTTTTTTGCTTGTGCATGAAATTCTTCATGAAATTTTCAGTATCAAGTTGGTATGAAACAGAATTTAAAACACTGCCACTATGTAATGCACTGCAAATCTTTCCCTCCCTAAGCTTTGCTGGTACGTAAGTGGATGAGTATTATATCAATTGTATACACAGAAGCCTAGCAGAGTATGGGAGGTCATTGTTCCTATAAAATGTAACGTTTGAAAATGTGTGACTTTCCTACATCTGCAGGAGTTTTAAAAGAAATTTGGTAACAAAAGAAAGTATCACAAAACAGAGATGGGATTGAAACCCCCAGAGCAGAGGGAGAACAGCTGCTATCTGTGTTAACGGTACCATCATCTGCTGTAAGAGTGATCTAAATAGAGCTCTGCTCTTCCCATCAAGGACTGAGACAAATGTTTCCATTAGCTCCCCTTGACACAGCAGGTTGCGTGTATGTATTTAGGCTTTCTTGTATCTGCAGTTCCTAGTATGTGCAGCTGTGGAGCATAAAGCTGTCTTTGATTCTGAATCTTAGATTAAGGTGTCCCAAGGAAAAAGATGGGTTTTTTTTTTTTGAAGAAGTTGCTGTTTTCATACAGTGACCAGCTGTTGCAAGTTGGTTGCTAGATCATCCAGATGTTGCCTCTTTTTACAGCCCTCTGACATTCATTCTTGAATCCAGATACCCAAATAATGAAGACTACTAATAATCTACTGTGTACCTTTCTAAGCAGATGCGGTGGTGGTCATGTGGATCCCCAACCTGGTGGCTTCTAGGTTGGACTATCACAGTAGCACATGCTTAGAATCAAGTATGCAAATTGAAAAGTTCACCTAATTTGACATGGCATCTCATCTGCTAAATAACAGCAATACTGTAAAATAATGGTCTCAATATCAGTGACTGTTTGAGGGCTAGGGCTGTTAAGTTGTAACGAGAGTAACTAAGGAACCAGCTCCTCAGTGCCTGAAACGTTTTTCAAGTTAGTTGTAAAAAGCGAGCTACCCATACAGCGTTGTCAGTGCTGGAATCTTGGGCATTTAGTGGGGATGGGACAAACAGATATTCACTGGGGAAATCAAAGACAAAATTTTATTTTCAGAAATAATCACATTTTAGAGCACCTTTTTACCCTTCTTTTTTTCCATCATTCAGAGATAACGGGTTTTAAGGGAGAATCATGCACCAGAATTGCTTTTTGGTTTTTTATTCTCTCAAATTTAACAGCCGTGCAGAGTACAAACCTTTGCTACACACATTTTAAAATATTTTTTTTTTCATTAATAGAAGATCTTTTAACTTTGGTGGAAGATGTAAGATTCTCATCTTGGCTTTTGGCCACTGTAAATTTGGAGGGAAATTCCGTATGCATTCAGAGATTAAGAGACATTTGTCTGCCAAGTTGGGATTTTCCTTTCCTTCTGTAGGGCTGTTTGGAACTGCTGAGTGGTTTGCTAGTTTCAGCCTAGTGGACAGAAGTTTTGTTAAACGCTATCAGAAATAAAAAGTGAAAGAATGTGGTTTCTTCAAGCGTCCACAAGGAGGCATGTAATATCTGGCTTATGGATCCTGCCGTTTTTCATCTTCAGAAAGCATTTAAGAACTTTGTAATGCTGAAAGGGAGTGGTAATAAATGCCCCTTCTGCGTGCGTTCTTTTCTAGTGATGGGATGCGGTGAACTTGTGGGGTGTGGGGAGGAGTTGTTACCTCTCATTTGTGTTTCTGCCTGCCTCATTTTGCCGTCATTGATGCTTACACACAAAACCCATTTTACGAAAGGTTTCGCTGCAGATTGTTGCAGTGTTGACAAATTTGACAGCGGTGCTTTTTTCTTCTAAAAGCATTTTTTTTAATTAAGGATCGAGATGTGCTTTTCCTTTTTACCCTTCGGTTTGTGGCTACAATAGAGACCTTTTTGATGAATGAGGTGCCAGCAGGGGGCACATGGGGAACGATGTTCTGTGCAGGTTTTCACTTACCTAGGCGCAATTATCCAGCTGTGGTTTTCTATACGGCAGGCACTATTATGTTAACTTTTTCTCGCATAAAGGGAATCAAGCAAATACTGGTTCCTACTTGTTTAACAAATAAATAGGAAATCCTGTTCCATCGTAATGAATGCCTTTGTCCCACTGTCTTGTTAGGACTCATTTCTTCAAAACAGCGACTTCTTATTTATCCTCTGGAAAGTATAATATCAAATATACTTACATTAAGCTCTAAAGCCTTCCTGTGATATAATTATCACTGAAAAATGAGGCAAAGTGTAGTATAAAGTCATAAAAGTACACAGTGGGTGCAGGTTTTTGTTGTTTGGGGGGGGCTTGATTTTTGCTTTTGGTTTGGTTTGGTTTTTGTAAATAATAATGCTAATATAGCCAAGGTGACCTAAACCCAAGGTTTGTAGGGAGGGACTTTTATTAGGCCCAGAAATACTCCTGGAAGGAAACACACTGTTTCTTGAAGGGTCTGTGTGTTTGCAAGCTATCAGTATCTTGTATGTGTGTGCATATGTATGTATTTTTTTATTTTTTCATAGTGGGAGCTTAGATAATCCTTTATCTGCAAACAATTGAGAGTTGCTTATGTTCCAGGGCTTGAGTCTTTTGTTTGAGCTGTTTTTTTCTTCCTCCTTCCCGCGGCTTGAAGTGGTTGAGGGGAAGCTTGCTTGTATGGGTCAGCCTTCGCCCTCAGAAGAATTAAGGAACTGATATTGGGTTATCTTTTCCAAGGTGATTTCAGTGGTGGTCAGAATTTCTGTGGAAAGAGAGAAAGAGGGGAAGAGAAGGGACTACACTTGGACAATCCCAGAAGCTGAAACAGAAGTTGCAGTGAGGATTGCATTACCCATAGCAACATGGTTTCGTGTTGCTTATTTAAAAGTACTTATTTTTCAGTATTTTTCAGTACCTTTTGTTCAACTGCTGAGTATTGCGCTATGTGAATGGTATGTTATCTGATCTAATAGTGAAAATTCTGCATCAAATGTATTACATTCATTTATTGCTGATGATCTCTATGGGCCATTTCTCCCACATCATATGGAACTAAAACTGAAAGGACTAGCCAGTTAAACTGGCCTCACTGTAAACTTAGATAAACTACAAGGTGAGCAAACAAACTGCTTTTTATCTCTTACCGGTTTCACTGTCAAACGTGAAAAAATGAACTTGCTTTTACAGCTGTTCTTTTACAAGAATAATGTACAAGAATCTCTCAAGAATTTCTTTAATGTAGCAGATTATCAGCCTATGCTCTTGCCACATGAAATACATAGGTGTGGGCCACCAGGGTACTACAAGTGAGAAAAGCGGAGATTCCTCCTTCCTAAATGTGCTCCCTGTCGTGCTCCTTATTTTTCAAAGCTATCCCTCTCATTCACGACAAAACTCTGGAAAACACAAGAAGTATGTGCTGCTCATGTTCTGCACATTGAGTGAACTTTAATACGTATGTTTGCTGTGTCATCACCCAGTCAAGAAAGGACAAATCAAGGTCTGCTAGTCATTCAAACCTTCCCTCCCAGTCTCCTAGGAA